CTGAATGGTGTAGGTTTCAGTTGGAGTTTGTTCACGATCCTGAAGTCTGAAACGTGACAGATTGAACGAAGTAGCAACTACTAAACTGTCAAAAGCAATCTGCATCTGTCCAGTATTGAGATCTAGGTCAAATTCTGCTACAGAGGGTGGTTGTATGCCACTAACAACACTTTCAGCTTGAAGTGCTTGATCGGAAGGTATTGCAATAAGTGAATTACCATCCCTATCCATAGCAGAACCACTGGCAATAGAGATGAATGTGTCATCAACATCAGTAGCAATGGTCGTGTCAGAAACAATAGCATTCCGGATGGCAAAGCTGAGATCAATTTCAAGTGTGGCAGAATTCTCTGTGATTTCTGAGGCAGAGGAGAAGTTAAATGATGTGGTTGGATTTGTCTGGTGATTCTGAAGAACAAACTGCTCCAGTTTCAACGACATATATGTCAAAGGCTTAGAAAAGTACAGAGTAATATACTGTCCTGGTGACAAGTCTACTGTGAATCTTTGCAGCACTGGAGGGGCTGAAGGTGCAGCCACAAATTCAGTCAGTGTTAGAGCATCGGCTGAAGGAACTTCAAAGCTATTGTGACCATTTTCATCCTGTATCAATCCTTCACCAGCAGAGATGTAAGCTGTAGAAGCATTTGCTGCAAGGCCCTCAACGGAGAGAATTCCATTCACATCATCCACACTTGCAAGAAGGTAGATAACATAGTTATTGTCAGTAGGTAGTGCAGTGCCCTCCGAGAATGAGTACGATTTGGTAGAAGATGTCTGCGAGCTCTGAATTGTGAGTTGAGAGGCATCAAATGTACTGGTGTCAATGGGCTGGGAGAAGACAAGGGTAATGTTACCAGTATCGAGATTGACAGTTGCTTCTAAAAGAGTTGGAGGAACCATGTCCACAAGTGGTGGAGTTACTTGCAAGGTTGTGTTTACTACAGGCTCCCCATATGCATCGGCAACAGCAGCATCTTCTAGCTTTATGTATGTTGAATCAATGCTAGTTCCAAGACCATTCACTTCAGCTATTCTTGCCAAATCTGAGTTTGACACTGTGATGGTAACTACACTGCTATAGACATCTGGGAATGAACTGGTGGTCAGTGTTAGAGTTGATGCACTGCCATCAGATGAGTTTTGCAACACAATCTTACCGAGATCAATAGTTGGACGAATTGGCTCAGTAAAGTTCAAGGTAAGTGCTACAGGAGCCTTACCATCAGTTGCATATTTGAAGGAGAATGAAAGCAACACTGGTGGGGTTATGTCAGCATCAATGGTACCTACCTGAGAGGTAACTTCCTCGATTGGATTATTTCTCAGATCTGTGAGTGCACCACTGTCTAAGTGAACATAGGTGTTATCTCTGTCTAATCCAATGCTTCCCAGTTCTTTCAACCTCAACAAATCCTCTGTGCTGAGGCCTACAGTGAGTACTGCATTCACTGATGTGATGTTTGCAGCCGATATTTCAAAGTATCTCGCAGCAACCTGTCCATCTTGGAGGGTGACTTTACTGAGGTTCAAACTCATGGCACTGATTGACTCAGAGAATGTTAGTTCAATAAGCCCATTGTTCATACTGATTGTCCATTCTATCAGGTCTGGTGGGGTCATATCTTCAGTCAAGGTGGGTATGATTCCATTTACAATAGGAGAGGGTTGCATCAAAATGTCTGGCACAAGTCCTTCTGCGATATCCAAAGCCAGTTCTTCAACCCCGGAAGAAACAACAGTGTTTAGGTCATGAGGAAGCAGGATCAGCTCCATAGTGCGGCCATTCATGGTTGTATTGAGTATGGTCTGCTCATCCAGTGTGACAATAAGAGAACCATCATTGGCATTCACAATAGAAACTGTGGAGGTGTTTACTGTTGCAGGGGAGATTTGAGAGTACTCATCAAATGTGAATAACAGTGAACCACTGTTGAGGTCCAGTCGAGATGAAACTATTTCTGGTCCAGTTGTATCGGGAACAATGCCATCTACGGACTGAGTTATCTCATCAATTGGCTCATTGTCTGACAGTGGAAAACCGGCATAGTCGACTATACCAGCCAAGTTGACTGTGATCAAAGTGTTCATAGTAGAGGTGCCAATTGTGTCTCTTTGTTTAATAAACACAAGGTCATCATCAGAGAGCTCTACGACTATCACAGATGATCCAGTGTCAACCCTGAGGGTTGGATTTGAGTGTGGAACTTCAATACTGCTGTGAAGTTGGAATCTCTCGTGAAGATCTTCAGCTATAACAGGTTCAGAGAATTCAAACTGGAGTTCACCTTCGTTAAGGTCCAATATTATTCTCATGAGATCAGGCGATTCCATGTCTGGCTTGAGAAGAGATGCCTTCACTGCACTATCTGGTGGAATGGGTATCAAAGAATTACCTCCGGTGTCACGAATACCACCCTCATCAATGGAAATAAAGGTGTTATTTTCATCAGTAGCCAGCAAAACTTGCATCTTTATACCATTCACATCATAGTCCGTCAGATTCACAACTATCAGTGTGTTGGGGTCTGAGCGATATGCAGTGCCTCCAGTCAGACTGAAGAAATTTGTTGGAGAGGTGGTGGAATTCTCAGCCGCTTGCAATGTGAAAAATCCAGGACTGAACGTACCTGGCTCCATGATCTCAGAGAAATAGAGCTCGAGAGTTGCATTCTCGATACAGAGGTTAAAGCTAACAAGCCTGGGTGGTATTCTGTCTGGGATAAACTCCGTGATACGTGAAGCTGGAATGTCGACAGGGAGAACACCAATTTCATTCACAAAGTCTTCAATGAGATCACTAGTAAACTGTATGAACGTGTTGTCTTCTGCTGTTGCAAGGCCAGATCTGAGTTGAAGTTGCTCTATATCTCGATTTGCTAGCGGCATCTCAATAGTGTATCCATCACCACTGGTTGTGGTTCCATCAGTCAACTGATAGGAATTGACTGTGTCACTGGCAGTTTCGTCACTGACAAAGGTAATTTCTGTTGGATTGAGTGACGATGCCACGACGACATCATTGAAAGTCAGGATCAAAACACTTGAGTTCATGTTGAGTGTGAAACCCACCAAGCTTGCAGGGAGGGTATCTCTCATCACTCCAAATGTTTCCAGTTGGATTCGGCCTGATGCAAACACGGGATTTCCCGAGTAATCTGACATAGCTCCGCGCTCTATGGAAATATATGTATCAAGATGTGAAGTTCCTATGGAGGTCTCATTATGCAGAGCCAACACATCGGCAGCGGCTAACCCAAGTAAGATAGTGCTCAGCATCTCATCGGATGTGTCGACCCGTGGTGTGCCTCCGGTGAAGGTGTGGGTAAAACCGTCCATATTACTAGAATGCACGGACACAAGACTGTAATTGTAACTTCCAGGATCTAAAGGTTCGGAGAACACAAGGGTTAGGGTATTTTGGGTGAAATCCAGTCTAGAGAATTCAACCAGCTCTGGTGAAGTAATGTCCCTGGCCACCAGTGTTGCTTGTAGTGCATCTTCATCCAAACGCGCTTGAGCATTATTATCACTCTGGTCTCTAAAGGCAGCAGATGTATATGTGATATAGGTGTTGTTTTCATTCTTGGCAAGTCCAGCAGTGCCCTTTAACTGGAGAACATCAATTTCATCGATTTCTATAGTGACCATGGTAGCTGTAACAAACAGTGATGTTGTTGTTTCCTCTAGTCTATACATAATGGTAGCATTTGGAGAATTCTGGATGGTCACCTGGATGGGCTGTATGAATTGAATTGTTTCATCAAACGTAAAGGTAATTTCACTCTGCTCCAAATCCAATGAAAAACTCACAACCACTGGGCCTGTCTCATCCTCCACAAAGTCCTGTGCAATCGCCATTACATTAAACATATCATTAATGAAAAAACCATCTACTGGATTGCCAGCATAGTCTGTGAGAAAGTTGCTCGTAAAATGAGGAACACAACTGATTTGTGAAACACAGAGTGACATGTCCGCCTTGATCCTATTGAGGTCATCATTGTTAATCCTGAACCGAAACTCTGGTGTTGTGCTATCCAACACCTCCCCACCAGTGAGATAGAATTCAAGAGGTCCTCCAAAGGGAGAGAACCCAGTGTTTGAGAATCGAGCAGAGGCTCCGTACATAGTTTCAGAGAATTCCAGGGTGACTATTCCAGAATTGAGGTCAAACTGAACGTACCGTACATACGTAGGGATTTTCAAAATCTGTTCCAACCTCACTAGCTCTCACGGCATTAGAAATGTCTCTTGCTGGAGCAGCATTCCCAAGTGCATCCAACACGATTCCGCTAGTGTGATAAATATAGCACTCTGCAGTGGAATTACAAATTTCTTGACCCTTGATTCCATTGAGGTCATCATCTGTTAGGGTCACCATCACATACAAACCACTACTGTGTAGAAGAGGGGTGTTATCCGTGCTCAGTGTGTAAGAGTCACTAGATGCAGACTTAGCTCCACTGAGTGTTATCGTGGTAGCATCAAACGAGTCAATGGTAACTACTTCATCAAAGTGGATTGTGAGGTTTCCATCATTCATATCCAGAGTAAAGGCAACAACCAAAGGTCCTCTGTTGTCCGGGACAATGTATGAGGCGGGGTAGGGCATTGCAGAATTAATTGGTACGAGGACATTGGTGGACGTATCCTCGGCAGCATCTGACGACATGCTAAGATATGTGTTGGTAATACTGGAACCAAATGTACCCAGCTGTGCCTGGCTCTTGAAGAAAGTGTTGTCAAGTGCTGCAAAAGTAATGTTTATGACAGCAGCGTGTTCTCTCACATAGCTGCCTCCAGACAGGTTGAAAGATATTCCAGTTCCGTTGGATGATGATGATAAACGTATCTGGGTGGGATCAAATGTGGTGATATTTATTGCTTCCGAGAATGTCAGTGAAAGAACAGAGGTGGAGAGATTGATCCCGAATCGCATTAATCTAGGTCTGCTTGTGTCTTCATCCACATCAGTTGCTTGTAGGGCGTTACTACCATCAATGGCACACAACAGGATTCCCAGCAAAGTCTGCTATGAAATTAGAATCAACAACGATGTAAGTGTTGTCTGTCGCAGTAGCAAGAGCTGAGTTTGCCTTGATATTTATAGCATCACTACCAATCAGATGAACCTCCACTACTCTTCCCAGGGTAGAACGTACGGAGCTGGAATTGGTAAGTACATACGGTGATGATGGATTTACAGACCGCATGTTTTGAATGGTGAGTTCCGATAGTTGAATTGAAGAGGTGTCAACAACTTCACTGAATGAAAGGCTTAAGATCTCTCTGCTCAAGTCTAGATCAAAGCCATCCAGTACAGGTCGAATCATGTCTTGCGTGATTTCACCAATGACTTCATAGACTTCAGTTGTTGTAACCTCATTTCCAGATATATCAGTAGCCGATCCACTCAGTAAAGCAATCACACTGTTTGTAAGGAACCCTGGATTTGACTTGATTCCATCTTGATCAGCTGGACCCAATGACAAGGTTACGAGATTATTAGAGAAAACGTGCGAGCTATCTGTGAAGGTGTAGTTCACAGAAGATTCTGAATCTTGAAACTGGATTGCTGTGGGTGTCACATCTGCTAGCCTCTCATCAAAGGTTATTATGAGAGAATTAGCATTCAGGTCCAAGTTAAATGCCACAACTCCAGGTGGTTGTCTATCGGCAGTGAAAGTTTTGACTTGCAGAGCATTGTCAGGTAGTATTTCAGTTGATTCTCTGTTTCCCAGAGCTCCCTTAACTGCACTGGCTCCTACACTAATGAAAGTTGTGGCTCTGGAATCAGCTATATTTGATGTTTCTTTCAAGAATGTACTGTCATCATATGTCAGCATGATCTCAATTACAGATCCATCTTCGCCTCCAGTCACGCTGTTAGATGACACTGCACGTGTCCGTGTCGGTGAGCTGGCGGCCATGTTCTGGACCTGAAGCCTACTAAAGTCAAGGGTGGAGTCTAGAACCGGCTTTGACCAGGACAAGGTGAGAAGTGACTCACCAAGATCCAGATCAAATGCAACAAGTGTTGGTGGGTTAAGATCGGGAGTCACATCAGATGCCATTAGCCCATTACTGCTGCTTATCTGTTGAACTGGGAGGCCACCGAGATCTGAAGCAGCAAACAGAGTGAGAGTCAGGAAGGTATTGGTCCTCAAACTGCCAAAGGTATCAGAGAACTCATCTGTCAGTGTGCTAATAGGCAGTCGCAGCTGAAGTTCATCGGTATTTGTGTCTTCAATAGGTTGACTCCCTGAAAGAGTAACAGAATTAGTTAGTCCAGCATTGCTGTCAGCCCTGCTCTGCAGAAATATCTGAGTTGTGTCAAGACTGGATAAGTCTACAAACTCGTCAAACGTCAGTGATATTATTCCACTGTCAAGGTCTAGAACAAAGCTCTCCACAGATGGTCTTGTAGTGTCAGCAGTGAAGCTAGACACTTTCTCTGCAGCTCCATCTAACACTGCTACAAGTTCAATGCCTGATATATCAGTAAGAGCTGTGGAATTAGCTCTGAGATAGGTATTTGAAGAGCTCGTAGCTAGACCTTCGGTAGATTTTATTCCATTCAGATCAGTGTCAGAGAGATAAACTGTCAGTTTGTCAAGTGCAACCGACACGGTACTGCTATCAGTAAGCCGGTAAGTGATGCCTGGAGTGGCTAATTCCTGGTCTTGGATAACTATATGTGTCAACTGAACAGAATCTTCATCAATGAAGTCGTTGAAGGACATTATCAGTAGTCCTTCATCCAAATCCAGGTCGAAAGATTGTAGCATTGGTGGCTGGCGATCAAAGATGACATTAGAAGCCTGCAGTGCCTTTCCATCAGTCAGAGCTGCATTATCCATACCACTTGGAGAATCAATTGTACTTGCAAGCATTGTAATATAGGTGTCATCAATGCTTGTTCCAAGACCTTGGTTTTCTCGAATCACTTGTGCATCTGTGGAGAGGCTCACATTGAGTAAAAATCCACTAGCAGTTGTCAGTGCTGTACTTGCTGAAGTTAGAGTGTAGTAGGCACCAGAATCAGCTCTAAACTGACTACCTTGTAAGGTTATGCCAGTAGGATCAAAGTCTCTTGGATCGACTACATCATTGAATGTCAGTTCCAAGGCATCACTTTCAAGGTTGAGAACGAACCTAATCAGAAGGGGATTTGTTGTATCAGGATACACAACGTTTGCATCCAGGGTTTCTACTTGCGAGGCAACGTTACCTGCGAAATCCATCACAGCACCTGGATTTAAAATGAGGTATGTGTTGGTAGAGTCAGTGCCAAAGTTGGAATTTGATTTCAGGGAAATGATTGTTTCAGGTGCCAGACTGAAAGTTACCGACACCGTACTGCTGATCATAGTACTGGTTAGATTTGCACCATCCAGAGATATGATTGGTGTAGTAGGTGAAAGTCCAAGGAAGATTTCTGAGTAAGCTATTGCTGTGGTATTAATAGGTTCATCCAGAACAAGTTGGATGGTGTCTTCAGTCAGATCGAGTATGAACTGTTGCAGCTCTGGTGGATCATTATCGCCAGCGAATCCCTGTACTTGCAAAGCATTGTCCACTTCAGTTGGCATTAGTTGATTAGGGACTAAAGCTAAATCTCGTGTGACATCTTCTGTGAGAGCAATGAATATTTTGTCATTGAGAGCCAACTGGGACTCTTTGATATGGTTCAGATCATAGTTGGAGAGAGATACGAGTATTTCGACTCCATTATCACTTGATGTTAAGCTACTCGATGTCAGCTGGTAGCTCGAGTTGGGAGATGACCTGGAATCTTGAAGAGTGATTCCTTCTGCATCAAAGACCTCTGCAGACACAGGCTCAGAAAATGTTAGAGTGAGCTCTCCACTATTAACATCCAGTGTGAAGTTGTTGAGTACTGGAGGAATGTCATCAAACACAAACCGATCGGCCAAGAGGCCACTACTTTCTGCCGTAAGAGCATTTCCCGCTATGTCTGTCAGTGTAGAGGCTGTCAGAGTGATGTAACAGTTACCTCTCGATATACACACGAATGGATTCAAGCGAATGCCAGCCATGTCTTCATCAGTCAGTGTCAGAGTAACTGTTGGTGGACTATCTGTGACTTTACCTCCACTCAAAGTGGAGGTAGTCACAGATGGGCCGGACGTGAATGACTGAAGTGTAACCTGTGATGGATCGAACGAACTAGACCGAATCGTCTCAGTGAAAGTGAGATTAACAATGCCTGTTGCCCTGCTGAATACATCGAACCTCAGCAGTCTCGGCTTGGTGGTATCTGCAGTGAATTCAGACGGTGATAGACCAGTTGTTATGTTTTCCGCTGTTTCTCCAAATGTATCGGCAATTGCTCCATCAGCATAGGTCAAAAAGCATGTCGTATTGGTCGTGCAAATATCAAGTGCCTTTATCATGTTCAGATCATCGTCACCTATTGCAACAGTTATTATGGTGAAGTCAGTTATCCTTATGAGTTCAGAGTCTTCAGTCAAAGAAAAGAATACGGAAGGTGCCGTCTCTGAGTTTTGAAGTGTGTATGCTGTAGACACAAAGGTTGCACCATCAACTGGTTCATCTGCAGTTAGTACAAGCAGGCCGCTGTCCATGTCAATCGTGAACTGAATAAGTGATGGTGGAAGAATGTCAGGTGTGAATTTAGATGCCTGGATAGCCTCGTCTCTTGACAAACCAATGACCGCACGACCATCCGAATCCTTTACTGCTCCTTCAGTCACACGGATATAAGTATTTTCAATAGAAGTTGCAAGGTCAGGCAATTGTTGTAGGCTACCCTTGTCAGCAACTGAGAGTTCTATTTCAATCACAGGCCCATCAGTAGATAGCACAGTCCATTCAGTAAAGGCAAACTCCACTGCTGAGCTGCTGGGTTCACTGAGCAGAAAGACACGATCTATCAGTAGAGTACTAACCAAGACAGTTTCAGAGAATGTCAAAATCATAGGCTCAGACCCACTTAAACTCAGTTCAAAACCGAGAAGTGATGGTGGGTTTAGTTCTCCTGTGAAATTCACAACTTGGAGAGCCGCAGTTGATGGTATAGGAAGAACATGCAGACCTCCACTGTCACTAGCTAAGCCTCTTTCAAGAGAGATGTAAGTGTTGGATTCATCTGTACCAATGTCAGTAAGAGCCTGGAGGTTATTAACATCAGTAGAACTTAGATTGACCATGAACTGTGTGTTGGAAATCGGTATAACTGAGCCGTTGGTCAGGGAATAACCAGTCCCACCATTTTCCATCGGCTGGATGGTGATAGTGCTTAGATCAAACCAACTCTCTTGGATAGTCTCTGAGAAAGTGAGAGTCATCACACCTGTGTTGAGGTTGAGGTTGAAACTATTGAGTTCAGGTGGTACGAGATCTCCTGGTTCATTGGATGACTGAATAGGGTCGGATACAGGTTCAAGTGCAATTCCCTGAGCATCTTTTATCACCCCTTCGGGTAAAGTGATGTATGTTGAATTCCGGTACCTCCCAAGGGACACAAAGTTATTCAAAATGAACTCTAGATCTGAATTGTCACCATCACTTAGAGGTATTGTGATCACCTCACTGTTGATGGAAAGAGGAAAGCTGGTCTGGAGCATGTACATTTCGTCCATTCGGTCACTTATCTCAATCAGTAATGCATCCACGGATGTATAATCAATAACTTCAGTGAAAGTCAAGGAGAGCGACACACGTCCATCCAGAGCACCGAATGTGAAAGATACAAATTCGGGAGCTACTCCGTCTGGGACAAAGGTGGATACCTGCAATGCTTCACCTTCAGGTGTTTCCTGGGCACCATTTGAGAATAAATCTGACACAAGGTTCCCAGTGGTACTTATGTATACGTTGTCTGTAGCTGTTGCCAAGCCTGCTGCTGCCTTGATACCACTAAGATCCCTCCTACCAATCTGTACTTCAATTGATCTGGGACGAGTCAGTGTAAACGTAGAGTTGGTAGTAAGTGCGTAGCTACTTGTGGCAACAGGATCATTCTGGAATATAATTCCCGATGGATCAAATGAGTTGAACCTGATAGCTTCACTGAAGTTAAGCTCCAATACTCCTGTGTTCATATCCAGATTGAAAGCATTGAGATAAGGTCCTGTTTCATCTGGGAAGAAGGCACTTGCGTGCACAATTTCATCAGAGGTGACCTCTCTTGCAGCATTCCCAAAGATGTCGGACACAAAGTCTGGTGTGGAGTACACTGTATCCAGAGTCTCTCCGTTGACAAATTCAAGCAGGTTAGTCAGTTCAGCTGCCGAAAGAGTAACAATGACATCATTATCCTCCTGCTGGGAAACAGTAGCATCTTCAGGCAGTACATATATGGAGCTGTTGTTGCTCGGAAGAGGAATGGACAGTGCCATTACATCCACACTGCTTTCATCTACAGGTTCATCAAATGTGTAGAACAGTACTCCCGTGTCAAGATCAATGGTGTATGATCCCACAACAGGGCCCGATGTGTCTTCCACTATGCTCACTTCAACTGCACTTCCATTAGAAGCACCGACCAAGGCATGGTTGTTACTGTCGACTGTGATTGAAGATTCAAAGGTCGCAAATGTAGTACCAGACTTAGCTAACTGGTCGTGCAATTTAAGTTCACTCAAGTCAGATTGCTCAAGACCAAACAGTATGATGCTGGATAGATTGTTCAAACTATATCCAGTAAGTGGAGAGAGTGAAACAAAAGTAAATGTATCTGATTTATTGTATACAGTGGCAGCCGTTTGTAGTGTTATACTTGAAGAATCAAAGATGTCGACTCGAACAACTTCAGTAAAACTCATTACAATTTCCCCAGCATTCAGATCAAGGGTGAATTGGCTAATTCTAGGTGCAATTAGGTCAGTACCAAAGACGTCAGTGTCTAATGCCTCCATTCCTGATATAGGATTAACTCCATTTGCACCAAAGTCAGCAATAGCTGTGGAGTCCAGGGAAATAAACACGTTATTTGTTGATGTAGCAAGTTCAACCATTTGCTTCATTCTGTTTAAATCATATGTTGTAATCTGGATGTCAATCAGATAGATGGACTCATCTGTTTGCATAGCAGTGCCACCAGACAGTGTTACACTTGAAATGCCAATTCCTGTAGCATTTGGAGAGTTTTGAAGAGTGACTCCTGTACCATCAAATGAGGAAGGATCCAGTGGTTCATTGGCTAAGAGTGTCAAAATCTCAGTAGTCAAATTGAGACTAAATGCTGTAACATTAGGTGCCGTCTGATCACGAATGAAGCTGGTTGCCTGCACATCGGCAGTTGGAAACACAGCTGTACCATCAGCTCTCTGTGTCACATCTGATGTTGCAGATATGTATGTATCCTCAATGCCGGTGGCGAGGCCAATGATATGCTTGAGCTGTAATAGATCAGAAACAGTGATGGTGGCTGGAAGAATGAATCCCAGAGTGTCATTAGAGAGACTGACTCCTCCTGTTAGTGTGTATGAGAGTGTTGGGAAGTTGGCCGTATTCTGGAAATTCACACCACTAGCAGAGTACTCCATTGGGCGGATGATGTCATCATATGTCAAGGTCAACAGACTATCCTCCATGTTAAGCTCAAAGCCAGCAAGTTGTGGTGGGAAGAAATCTAGTGTAACACGTCCTGCCATCATGGCACTAGTAGTTGGTACTTCACTCACTGGATTTCCAGCTGTGTCTGTAAATGCTGTTGGTCCAAAAGCTACAAAGGCAGAATCTCGGCTGACAGCTAATGTGTTCATTTGCCTCAGTATAAACTGGTCATCAAATGACAGAGTTATTATGAGAATGGTCAAATCTGTGGTAGCTAGTTCAGCTTGTCCACCATCCAACTGAAGAGTTATTCCTCCAGTTTCCTCTGACTGTAGAGTAATAGCACTGTAGTTCACTGTAGTGACATCAATTGGCTCAGAAAACTTGAGAGAGATCTGTGAAGTCTCGTGGTTGAACAACTCAAAAGACACAAATGTTGGATCAGTGATATCTTCATCAAATTTGTTGACTCTTAGGGCATTCACTCCATTTTCTCTTTCAAAGGCACCATTGCTGGAAACATCAGTAGTTAGAGATGGAGAATTGACGATATAGGTCGAGGAAGGTGAGACAGCAAGGATGGGATCTGCCTTGATTGCTAGTGTATCATCACTTGTCAACTGAAGTGTCAATCCAGTGTCATTAGATGAAATGACTGTACCGCCAGTGAGAGTGTAGGACGTACTGGCTGTTGAAGAGTCTTGGAGAGATAGGGCAAGTGGATCAAAGTTAGAAACACTGAACCATTCATCAAAGGAGAGTTCAAGAAGTGAGGATTCCAAGTCAAGATTGAATGATGTTATTGTGGGACCTGTTCTGTCAGGCACATAGATGAGTGGGTAGTGCTGTGAATTTGTCATCTGATTCGCAAGAGCCGGCAGGGGATTGCCAAAGGCATCAGAAGCAAAGCCTGGTGCATAGCGAATGTAGCAGTCAGTGCGACGTGTACACAGGAAATCATCAAGTTTGATGGCATTCAGATCATCCTGGGAAAATCTGAGCTCTATCTCACTGCTACTTCCACTAAGTATTTCTCCACCGGTTAGTGTGTACATTGTGAAATCAGCTCCACTTCCATCTGCTGTACTCTGCAGTCTCAAAGAACTAACTTGAAGCGAATCGGCATCAATAGTCTCAGTAAACTGCAATGACATAATCCCAGAGTCTACATCCATCATGCGGAACTGGGAAAAGGCAGGGTTAGTCATGTCACTGGTAAAGTTTGTTGCTTGGAGTTCTGTAGGCACAACTTCATTACCGGCAGCGTCGGTGATGAAACCTTCAGATACGAAAACATAGCAGTCCTCCATTGTTGTACAAATATCCAGGGTGTTGAGTTGGTTTACATCATCTTGGATCAGCTCTATGGTGGTTGTTCGACTCATCTGTGTTGGATTATTGTGCCCTGTGAAGGTGAATGTGTGGGATGGATTTAGTGGAGTGTCTTGGACTGTGAGATGTGTCATGTTCACGGAGAGGCGGTCGGCTACTTCATTCAGCTGAACACTCACAGTCTTTGCATCAAGATTAATTTCAAACCGTTCAATGATTGGGTTGATGGTGTCTTTCACAAATACCGAAACTTGCTGGGCATTTTCAGTGTCAATAGCTGGAGCACTATTTCCAAGGATGTCTTGAACAGCATTAGCTACTATTGAAAGGTAGGTATCGCCAACACCAGTTCCTACTTCAGGACGAATATTTAGCTCATCGACATCTCGATCATTCAGAGTCAGCACAATGGTGGAGAAGTTGAGACACTCAAATGAATTTGATGTAATGGAAACATTTTCAATAGCATCAGAACGAGCATCCTGGAGAGTCAAAAATGTTGGGTTGAAGGTAGACACATCCACTGTTTCACGGTACATCAAATACAACACACTGTCATTCAGGTCCAGTGTGTAGCTAACTAGCACCGGGCCACAATCAGTATCGTCGGGGACAATTACATCAACCGGTGTGTTTGACTCAGCACTAGCTGCTCGAGGTGGCAAGCTGAAATCGTATGCTGAATCCGCTTCTATTGAAACCGAGGTTGTGTCACCATACAGCATAGCTTCTCGGTGGGGGTTCAAATCACCAGAAATATCAATGGTCACAGTGCTACTACCACTTTCAGGAGATATGTGACTCCCTTCATCTGCCAGTGTAAAACTCTCCGTTCCTCCATCTTCAAGTGTAATTGCTGTCACGGGGAATCTGCTGATGTCAATGACTGTGCTGTATGATAAAACGAGGGTGGAATCACACAGATTGAATGTAATCCTCTCCAGCATTGGCGTTGTCATGCGTTTGTATAACCTCTTGTGCTGGAACTGCTTCGTGAAGTTCAGTGTTTGGATTTCCTGATACATCACTAACTGCATTGTCGGTTAGGTTGAGGAAAGTGTTCGCTGTTGATGTCCCTAGATGTGGGTTACTCAAAAGAGCATCAGAGTCATCAACGCTCAGTTCCACATCGACTACTGCACCACCTTCTGAAGTTATTTGACTTTCAGTGCTCAGTGTGACTGAGGTTTGAGATGCAAAATGCATTCTGGATGACAATGTGGTCAAAATTTACAGCAGAAGCATTAATACACTCATCAAATGTCAGATGTATACTCCCAGAGTTTCTGTCCAGGCTCCATTCAACAAGAAGAGGACTTGTATTGTCTTCTGTTACCATCTCCGCTTGAATTGCATCAGTACTAGGTATGGAAGCAATAGAGTTGGTTGGTGATGAAGCTAGGTCTTCTACAGAGCCAGCTGAAATAGCAATGTAAGTGGTTTCTGTGCTTATTCCCAACCCAAGTTCACATGTCAGCGCAACTCGATCTTGCCCAGCAATAGTAATTCTTACAATATCCGACGGATATGTCGTTGTAATTTCAGAATTGGCTAGCGTTTGACTGAGAGTGTTATCATTTTGTTCAGCTTGTAGTGAGATTCCACTGAGATCAATGCCACTAGATCTTACTGCTTCACTGAAAGTCAAAATGAGGGAATTTGAATCAAGGTCAAGCACAAAAGACTCTAATGTGGGAGCTGATATATCAGGGAGTACAAACAGTGAACTCAGCCCATCCACAGGAACAAGTCTGTTGAAAAAAGCATCTCTGACAAATTCTTCTCCTAGAGTGAGGTAGACAGCATTCAAAGAGCCATTCTTCAGCACATTAAGATCTTCAGCAATCAACATCAGTGTTATTGCTGGTCCATTTTCCATAGCACTACCTCCTGTCAAGGTGTGAGCAAACAGAGGTGGTGTTAAGCCATCTGTATCACGAAGAGTGAGTTGAGTTGGATCGATAGAACTAGCAATAACAGTTTCCGTGAATGTCAGCACAATTTCACCCGTATCAAGGTCTAGATAGTAAGTGTCCAACTCAGGTCTTGTGCTGTCGGGAGTCACCTCACTCACTTGTACTGGTAGTTCATCAGGTGTGGTCACTGGTCCAGCACTTGTGTCAATGAAAGCTCCATCTTCAAGACGAATGTAAGTATTGAAAACTCCTGTACCTACTCCCTCCTCAGCATTGATGTTGTTTAAATCGTCTTGAGTGAGCTGAATATTGACTTGCAGGCCACTCATTGCACTACTGGCTGTGCCACCAGTAAGGGTAATGCTAGAGGCACCTGTAGCATCTTGAAGTGTGACAAATCTAGCAGTATAGGAGCCATCATCTACCTGCCTATTAAAGAACAGTTCAAGAACCTCTGAAGCCATGTCCAAATTGAATGAAGTTAGTTGAGTTCCATTTCCACCTCCCACAACTTCAGATGCCTGTAGAGCACTACCTTCTAATATTGGCATCACATCTTGTCCATCAAGCCCATCAATAGTTGTTTCCTCCAAGGTAATGAAGGTGTTTTCGACACGTGTAGCAAGTCCATCTGCTGAAGTTAGAGCAAACCTGTCTGATGCAGCAAGCTCAACTATCACAACTAAGCCATCATCATCGCTCATAGGTGTACTATCACCACTTAGCTGCACTTCATTAGTGCTCGTTCGGTCGTCTTGTAGGGTGATACCAGTTGCCACAAAAGTGCTCACATCTGCAACATCGTCGAATGTAAGGAACAGTCTCCCATTGAAGATATCAAGGGTAAAGCTACTGAGGCCCATTCTACTAGTGTCAGGAGTGAATTCATTTGAACCATCAGTGGCAGGTAACCTAAGGACTTGTGGAAGGGGATTCTCACCTGTATCAGATATAGTTAAGCTACTAATTGACACAAAGGTATTTGTAGCCATTGTGGCAATCATGCCAGGAATCTTGAAAGCAATCAAATCCTGTGAGCTGAAAGCAATAGTGACAATGGTTCTCTGGTTAGTTGATGTTACATCTCCTCCAGTCAATTCATATGAATCTCCACCAGTAGCTGCGTTGTGGATTGAAATGCCAGTCAGTCTAAGCTCATCCTCTTTCATTGGCTCAGAAAAAGTGAACACCAACACATTGCTGTCCAGATCAAGGTGATAGCTGATCAAAGACGGATCCTCATTGTCTTGTGTGTACACATTGACCTGAATTGTCACCATATTTGCTGGATTTTGAGCTGGTGAAAGGTCTGTTATGGCCATTGATTCTATGGTCAGATATGTGGAGTCTTTACTCTTGGCAAAATCGGTGGCTTTGATTCCATTTAGGTCTTCAGAGCTAAGCTCAATTGTGACCTCATTGCTGAATATATCAGATGTTCTTTCTCCACCTGAAAGTCTGTATGACTGGGCATTTGCTTCTGAGCTTTCCCTTATCAAAATGCTACTTGGTTGCAGTTCTCGAGTATCAACAATCTCATCAAATGTCAAAGTCAGAATACCCATATTCACGTCCAGGTCAAAGCTGTCCAGTGTAGGGGAAGTGCTATCTCCTGTGTAATCTTCGACCAGAGGAGCTTGTCCGTCTGGTATTTCCTCCACATCGTTACCAGACATATCCTTGATTGCTGATGATGAAATAGAGAAGTAGCAGGTGCCCTGGCGTCCGCAAAGGAATGGGTTTTGCTTTAGTGTAATGGCATCTTCGGTAGAAAGTGTGATGGTGATGGTAGGACTGTTGGATGTTACAGTTCCACTGGTCAAGGAAAAGGTGTCTTCAGGATCAGTAGGGAAAGACTGGATCGTAATACCACTGTACACCAGCGATGATGTATTGACAGTCTCAGAAAACACAAGTGTGAACTGAGCAAGGTTGAGATCAAAACTGGCAAAGCTCACCAGCTGTGGTCGTATTGTGTCAGGATCATAATTGCTTACTCTGAGTCCAGTGTTAGATAAGCGAGGAAGTACTGCTAAACTGAATGTGTCTGTGATCAGCCTGTCAGTGTATGCTATGAAGCACATCTCTTCCACAAGACAGACTTCAGCTGCTTTCAAGTTATTGAAGTCATCGAGACCTAATCTTATGTCAATGATGTTTGATATTTCACTGATAACAGAGCTGTTTTGGAGGGTGTATGTGTTGGTTGGGACTGCTTCAAGATTTTGGAAAGTCAGCTGGTCTGCTTGAAATGACCTAATCTCAACAACCTCGTCAAAAGACAGAGTGAGGACACCACTATTCATGTCATAATCAAAGGCAACCAGCTCCGGTCGCATTGTATCATTAGTAACTTGTGCAGATCTCAAAGCACTGTCAGGTGATAATCCAGTAGCAGAGTTCCCATAGAGGTCCTCGGCAAGACCATCAGTGTGAGAGATGAATGTATTGACTGACAGTGTTCCCAGGTTTGTCAAAGTCTGCAGGGTATAGAAATCAGTCTCCGTTATATTGACGATTACAACTGAAGAATGAATGTCTTCAAAGCTTCCTCCAGTGAGACTAAGAGACTCAGTGCTATTCTGGGCTGCATTCTGGATGGTGATAGTCGTCACATTCAGGGTTGTAATGTTGAGGGTTTCAGAGAATGTGAGGTAAAGCTGGCTGGTGTCTAGAACCAGGCTGAATGACTGAAGAGTTGGTCCTGATTCGTCAGGCACAAAAACAGAAGACTCGATGGCTTCCTCACTTGATATCGGCAATACTGGGTTGTTTGAGCTGTCTAAGAAGCTGTACTCAGAAATAGCGATGAATGTCGTGTTACTGGACACAGCAATACTGCTGTCTCTGTTCAGTATATCTAAATCTGTCATAGAAAGACTGATAGTGACTGTGTTCCCAGATGATACCGCAGTCCCACCACTGAGTGTATATACAGAGGAAGCTTCACTGATATTCTGGTGGTTTTGGATGATAACACCACTTGCGTTGAAAGATGTTGATGGAACAGACTCTGTAAATGTCAGTATTACCATCGCTCTGTTCAAATTGAAGGTGAAGGCTGTAACTTCAGGTGGTTCAAGATCAACAGTGTATACAGCTGCCCTGATCGCATTACTAGGAGGAATGCCCACCAAATCCATCTGCACAACATCTTGAATGGCACCATCATCAATGGAGAGATATGTAGTGTTTTGACTCTGTCCCAGGGGCTCTCTTCTGAGTATTTCAGCATAGTCATCACCCGTAATGTTGACACGGAGTATGGTGGTTGGTTGAACGAAATATAGGGCATCAGTTAGTGAATATGACTCTGTTGCATCTGCTGAATTGGATGCATCCTGAAGTGTGATTGTTGTTGGATCAAAAGTGCTTGCATTCACTACTTCAGAAAAGCGAAGTACTAGAACAACTCCTGCTCTATCTCCAGGAGCTTCGTAGCTGAATGCCTCTAGTGTTGGTGCTGATGTATCAGGGATTACACTGTCAACTTGCCGTGCAGCATCCACAGGAATTTCAGTAAGTCTCACTCCAGCTCTGTCTGAGAAAGTAAAAGCAGATAAAGCGATGTAGGTATCTTGTATATCATTTGCTAGGGTTGACATTGTTTTCAAAGCAGTAACATCTTCGTCATTCAGTAGAATAACTGCAGTGGTTGCATCAGTCACCTCCAATGTACCACCTGTCAGCATGAGAAAGGCAGTTGGTGCCGAAATGTCATTTGTGATACGAATCTGTGTTGTATTGAAGGATAACACATCAATTGGCTCCGAGACATTCAGACGGAGCTGGCCATTTTCAAGATCAACAGTTACAAATTCAATTGCTGGTGGTGTCATATCTCCAACAAACTGATTCACCCCCAAAGCATCTTCAGGTTCAATAGCTACAAGATCATTCAAGAATACATCAGCAACACCACCATCACGAACTGACACGTATGTGTCGTTGGGCGAAGTAGCGAGTTCAGCCAGTTTGATCTGAAAGACATCACTTTCAGGTAACTGAACAATTAGTGTATCACTTTCAACTGTCGTCTGAGTTGTACCGTCCTCTACTAGAGTGTAACTGAATTCAGGACTTGAGGATTGATTATTGTGAAGCGTAAAGCTGTTGCTTGTGTACGAAAGTGGATCAACGGGTTCACTGAATCTCAAAGTCAGTATTCCACTGTCCATATCCAGGTCAAACGAAACAAGTGTCGGTCTAGTCCCGTCCAGGAAGAAAGCTCCAACTTGCAGAGCATTATCAGGGAGTATAGGTGCTGATGGTATGTTGTTAGTGTCCTCTATTGCTCCTTCTGCAAGACTGAGGTATGTGTTCTCTTCATTTCTTGCAATAGTCTCATCTGCGTTTATTTGATTGTAGTCGAACGGGGACAAAATGACTTCAAACTCAGTTCCATCTGAGCTCCCTATCACAACATTACTACCTGCAGTCAGAGTTATGGTTGTTGTTGTGCTAAGGCTGTTTGGTGCACTCTGGAATGTAAGTGCTCTCGGATTGAATGTTGTTAGACGCACTGTCTCGTCAAAAGTGAGTGTCAGGAGTCCATTGTTAAGGTCGATAGAGAAGTTAGTCAACATGGGGGCTGTCCTATCGGCAACATGGTCAAATGCCATTAGAGAATTATTTGGTGTTATTGCGACTAACTCGAGACCTACCATGTCCGTAACGGTAGTGTTAGAAGCAGACAAGTATGTTGTGCTCTCATCGGTGGCCAATGCCATCATTTGCTTCACTAATTCTAATTCCTCAGTGCTCAGTTCTACATCAAATCTGGAATCGGGCTCTGTAGAGGTGGGAACTGCATCACCAAGTTGAACACTTGATGCTGTGCTGTTGAAGCTGCTCTGGATCAAGAGACCGGCAGAATCGAATGATGACACATTGACAACTTCGGAGAACACCAAAGAGAGTAGGCCCTCATTTACATCAAGAGTGAAACGTAGTAGCTCAGGAGATGTCTCATCCTCGGCAAAGTTAGTTACTTGCAGTGCTGCTGTCGAAGTTTTTGGAAGGATGGGGAATCCGCCCACAGCACTTGCTGCAGTAGCTGCGATGGAAATGTAAGTATTATTTCGACTGGTTGCCAAATCGGGATTTGCTTGGAGACCATGCAAATCTGTTGCAGTGAGTTGGAAAGTGATTGTATAGTCTGGCAGAGTGGAATTTAGTACGACCCCACTAAGGATGTACTGATTATCAGACTCAAGCCCCTCCATGTCAGATTGTAGTGTGATTCCAGATCCGCTAAATGTAGTAATATCAATCACATCATCAAAAGTGAGCATTACGAACCCAGAATCCATATCCAGATCAAAAGAGTCTAGGGAAGCACGCACAAAGTCTTCTCGTACGTCCTGTGAAAGTTGCAAGGCATCTGTGATTGGAACTGCCTCAAGATTGTTACCAGCAACATCAGTTATCCCAGCAGACGACACACTAATGAAAGAATTAGACATGCTAGTACCAATTGTGTCATCTCTCTTTAACTGTAAAATATCTTCTGACGACAAGCTGATGATTATGGTAGACTTGTCTCCCCCATACACAGCAGTACCAGTTGTCAGAGGTATTGTTACTCCGCCATTTGCCATGCTCTGCAGTGTGTATTGTGTAAAGTTCACACTTGCTATATCCACTGGCTCACTAAAGTCGAGTTGTATAGTCCCATCGCCTAGGTCTAAGACTCTGAACGCCTCCAACGACACATCTGTCATATCCAGTGTATATGCACCTACTGGTATAGTAGTTGGAGCATTAGCAATAGATCTCACATCGGTTATAAGGGACGATGTAGCAGTGAGATAAGTGTCATCGACGGAGGTAGCTAAACCATCAAGTGACTTAATAGCATTCAGGTCAGTGTCCAGAAGGGTGAAATTGATTTGGGTGTTGGCAGTTCTTGTTTCCACCTGTCCTCCAGTTAGCTGGTATGATACTGATCCAGAAGGTGAGTCTTGAAAGGTCAGTGCTGTAAAGTCCCTGGAGTTAGGGAGTACAGGCTCATCAAACGAGAGAGTAACCAATCCATTGTCCATATTGAGGGAAAATTCTTCAAGCTCAGGTGCAGCATTATCAAACTCTACATCTTCTGCTCTCAGTGGACCAGTAGGATCTAGTTGGTTTTCGGCCATGTCCTGGATTGCTTGTGGTGTCAGGTTGATATAACAATTGGTGAATTGAGTGCATAGTAAGGTCTGTAGCTTGACAGAGTAATATCTGCAGGTGACAGTTGTACAACCAAGCTGAAGCCATCATCGCTGGTTGTTGTACCACCAGTGAGTGTTAGAACAGCTTCTGGATTCTCACTGAATGACTGCAGTTTAGATCCTGCAAGATTGAGGGACTCAGCTCTGACTGTTTCACTGAATCTGAGTGTCATAGTCCCAGCACCTAGATCAAACACGGTGAATTCTTCCAGCTGAGGAAGAATGGTGTCTGGTTCATACATGGAAGCGTTCAGGGCACTACTCGTGCCCCTTCCGATAAGCAAGTTGCCAGCATAATCTGTAACAAGGGCATCAGTGTATGATAGGAAGCAGTCTGTATTATCTGTACATAGATCCAGTCTGTATATCTCGTTTAAGTCTGGTGTGTTGAATTGAATGGTAAGTGCAGATGAGACTGACGAATGAGGCTCCACTATTCCTCCTGTAGGCACAAATTGTACAGACAGAGAAGTGGCATCATTTTGGAGAGTTAGTTGAGAGAGCTCAGTTGTTGTTCGATTGGGTGCTTCTGTAAAGAACAGGCTCAGAGTTCCATTGGTTAGATCGATGTTGAACATTTGAAGCTCAGGTCTTGTTCTATCATTGACAACAGAAGCAGGCATCTGTGTATCTTCAAATGAGATAAATTCATTGTCGTTGTCAGAAATATCACTGATAGCACCTTCCAAGAGTTGTAGATACACATTTGACCCAGCTAGGGACTTGATACCATCCAAATCTCTCTGTACTAACATGATGGTTAAGATGTTCTTGGATACATTTCCGTTGGTTGAGGATTGTAAAGTTATTGCTGTTGTCTGCATGGAAACATTGTTTGAATCGGCAAAAACAATATTTTCCCCATGCAGGGAAGATGCAAGTATTGGCTCATTAAATGTCAGTGTGAGGACTCCATCATCCAAATCCAGAGAGTACTCTAGTAGTTGTGGTGCAGCTTCATCATCCACGACAGCAGAAGCACGTCTAGCTGATGAGAGTGCTATTGGTTCAATGGGTATCCCCGAGGCATCATACACTGTGGCATTCTCAATAGTCAAGTATGTGTTATCCGTGCTATCTCCAACACCGGAAGTCCCCTTTAGAAATATATCATCAGACATTGTCAATTCGACAAAAACGATGTCCCCTAGGGTGCTGGTTGATACAGTGGCATTAGAAATTGTAAGTGTACGTTGGGGATCAGTCGTGCCTCGTGATGGAATGATAGTCAAACCACTGACTCTGAAAGTAGTGACATCAACTGCTTCCTGGAATGTTAGGATTAGCTGAGAAGTGTTCAGATTCAGTGTGAAATTCAGTAATTCTGGTGGAGTCTCATCTGGGAGCACTTGATACACCTGTAGAGGTTGTTGCGGTGTTTCCAGAGAGTTACCGGAAATATCCGAAATTGTTCCATCACTTGTGAGTACATAGGTGTCAGTAGTGTCACTTCCCAAATCGGATAGTTTTATGGAATTCAGATCTTGCACACTGAGGCCAAGAGTTACTGAATCAGCCGAATATTCAAGAACAGAGCTACTAGATGTTAGAGTGTAGGTTACAGTGGCATTAGATGCAAGGTTCTGCAGAGTTATTTGAGAGACATTTACACTATTTGGATTGACGGCTTCAGAGAATGTCAGAGAGAGGGTAGAAAGCCCCAGGTCAAGAGAGAAATTTGACAAAGACTGGGGGTTCTCTGTCCGGTATAACTGAATAAGCCATGAGTGCATCACTGGAAAGAATTTCTTCCACTGGAATACCAACAAGATCTTTTACTGTATCGGATGTTATAGCGATGAATGTTGAGTTTCTGTCATTACCAAGGATACTTGAAGCTTTGATGGTGTTGAGATCACTAGCAAGGAGTGTAACATGGAGTATGTCAGAGTTGTAAGTTGGCGGGTCTGTATTCTGCAGAGTCATGTTTTCAGTTGTGGAATCAAACACCTTCGTACTCTGTAGGGAAATCTGGGCTATATTCAGCGAGCTAGAGTCTACAACTTCTGAAAACGATAGAGAAAGAATGTCTGTTGTCAAGTCTAAGGAGAACGCAATGAGTGAAGGAGCAGATGCATCAGGAATGACATCAAGAGCAGACAGGGCATTAGAAGGAAGTATTCTGATGGCCCGATTGCCACTGACGTCACTCACAACTATAGGAGATATGGTGATGTAAGTATCGGATGTTGAATTTCCCAGTCCGGATATTGATTTAATTGCATTCAAGTCAGCAGATGACAAGGGGATAGACACAAAGTAGTGGTCCTCTTCAATTTCTCCTTCTGTGAGTATATAACTGACTGCAGTAGAGTCTGGACCTCCGCGAAGAGTAATGCCAGTTGCATTGAATATACTAGCATTTACAGTCTCTGAGAATGTTAGATTGAGAGTACTACGATCAATGTCCAATACAAATTCGAGCAAGGTAGGACCAGTACCATCTGGGACTATTGTGGACACCATGAAAGCGTTTTCACTAGAAATTTGTGGAACACCATTGCCAAAGAAATCCTGTACAGCATCTTCGGCAATTGTCAAGAAAAGATTGTTTTGAGATGTCCCAAAATCTGACTGGGTTGCCAGCAACTGTGACTCCTCAGGTGCCAATCCAATTGTGATAGTGTGAGCATCCTGTGACAGGGATATTGAAGCACCAGCAAGGGACACTGAGATGGTAGTTTCCGTTGCATTCTGTTCGTTTTGGATACCGATGCCTGCTAGGTTGAGAGAGTCCAGGCTGATGGTATCATCAAACGTGAGGTTCACACTGTATGAGTTCAAGTCCAGCACCAACTCCAAAAGGTTTGGAGAAAATTCATCAGCAACAAATGTTGTCACTCTGAGTGCTTTTCCATCTGTGATTGGTAAAACATCTCCTCCACGATAATCATCAATGTAATCTCCTCTCATGATGAGATAAGTGTTTGACTCATTCTTTGCCAGGCCTTCGACGGAATTAATGCCCAGCACATCCAAATCTGACAGAGTGATATCAACAATGTGACCATTTTGGCTGAAAGACTGGCTATCTTCAGATAGTGTAAACACAACACCTGGAGATGCAGTTGCACTTCCCTGTAGTCTCAGAGCCGGAGAATACTGAGTCGAGCTGTTTATAACATCAGTGAAAGTCAGAATTAGATGGCCATTGGTGAGATTGAGCGTGTACGCAGAGAGACGCGTAAAAGAATCAGTCAGTGGAGAGTCCAGGACAGATGTGGCATTCACAGCTGACACTACAAGGATGCCGTTACCTTCAACATCAACCACAGAGCTTTCTTCAATTGTGACGTATGTGTTCATAGACGATGTTCCAAAGCCTCCGTCAAGTTTAACAGCAGCAATGTCTTGAAGGCTCAGAGCTAGAGTGATTTCACTCGACGCAAAGCCAGAAGTTGTGACGACGCCATCAGTTAGTCTACGTGTGTTATCTGACATGGAATCATCAGAGTGGAGCACCATCCCAGAGACATTGAAGGACTCTATGACAATGGGCTCATCAAATCTCAGTATAATAGTTTCCTCCTGAAGGTCGAGATCAAACTGCAAAAGTTGGGGTGGAGATGCATCAGCAGTAAAGTTGTTCACTTGGGTCGCATTCATGGAGGATATGGCGGTAGCATCGTTCTGGGTGTAGGCAGTGTCAAGGATGAATCCAAACTCAGCTGAAAGGTAGGTAGTAGTGTTGTCCTTACTAGAGTTGGACAACTTCAAATTGTTTATATCATCTGAAGATAATTTCACTGTTAGAATTTCAGAATCTTCCCCTGAAACCTCGCCACCCGAGAGCATTATTATAGAATCAGCATCTGATGCAATGGGTGATGACTGAATGGAAACATATGCCACACGGAAAGAGTCAGTGTCCACAGGTTCATCAAAATACAGGGACATAACACCTGAATCCATGTCAAGATCAAACGATACGAGAATAGGACCGGCCTCATCATCAACCAGGTCACCCACAATAAACCCAGGGAATTCTTCAACTGTGGCCTTGAAGCTGTTTCCACTTGTGTCCGACAGAAATGTTTCAGTGGCAACAATGTAACAGGTTGCTCTGGTTGTACAGAGTCGAGGGTCACTCTTTATGTAGTTGATGTCAGGAGAACTGAGCTTTATCTCTACCGTTGTTCCATCAGTGCTGAGGCTAACAACTCCATCAGTTAGTGTGTATTCTTGAAGTGGCTCCTCAAACAGTGTTTGTAGTGTGATTGATGTTACATTGACTGTGGTTATATTGATGGCTTCAGAAAAGCGGAGGGTAATGAGGGCACTCTCCAAGCTGAATGACGAGAAAGAAACAAGCTCAGGGCTTGTAGAATCCCTCGTGTAAGTTGTTACATTCACTGCGTTACCATCGAGACGACTATTGACTGGCAAATTAGAGGCATCTTTGATAGTGTTGTTGCTGAAAGATAGGTAGCAGTTGTATTCACTTGTACACAGTGGAAGCAACTTAATACCATTGAGGTCACTAGCACCGAGAGAGATGTTAACGTTACTTGCAATTGCTTCAATGGAAAGCGCGTCAGTGAGTGAGTAGGTAGATTCCATGGCAAACTGGCCATCTTGCAGTGTAAGCTCTCGTAGAACAAGCGTAGAGAGGTTCACATACTCATCAAACGAGAGTAAAAGGAAGCCAAAGTTGAGATTGAGGTCAAAGCCAATGAGGGTTGGATTAGCCATATCAACATCAAATGCATTAGCCTGAATAGCCTCATCAGATGAAACACCAACGACGACATTCCCGCTTGTGTCTGAAACAAGGTCTTCCCCAAAGGCTATGAATGTGTCATCAAGTGAAGTGGCCAAGGTGTTCATGCTTCGCACCATATTAATATCATACGCTGTCAAAGTCAGTTTTAGCACATGAGTGTTAAGTGCCATATTAAACACTCCACCAGTCAAAGTATACATAG